GCCAGTTGTCCATGACCTAATTTAAAACCTGGATGCTAGGGAGACGAGTATGCGAAGATAAGTATCAGAGACAAGACAGAACAATGACCAGAGACCAATTCCTAGTGTACTGGGTAATGACAAACAGATGGGAATATAGTCCCAGAGAATAATGAGAAACAGTTTCAATAGCATTCTTAGCCAAACGATCTGACACTGCTTCAGAGAGATGCTAGTGGAAGACAGGATCCCCAGGAGGATGGAAAGGAACAGGAGACAAAGAAGAAAAACAATGGGTAAAACTAAAGGATAGAACCTTTAGCTTCCAATGGTCAGCTGCAAAAGGAATCCAGAGATCCATAAATCGAGCCAAACAGACTCCCACTGTTCCTGAGCCCAGTAGATAGTTAGAGACGAGAATGTTGTCACTAAAACCAACATATAGTGGAAGAACAGATGAGAGAACAGGGAGTAAAAAGAAGTCGGAAGGACATGAGACAACAACTGGAAGAGAAGGAGCTTGGGATAGACAGGACACAAAAGTAGTCAAGGAAAAAATGCTGGCATGCAGCCTCAGCCCATGACTTCTAAGAATCAGGTACCTCATCAAAAACCCACTGGCATAGGAAAGGAGCCAGATGAAGGTCTCCGAGATAAGAAGGGGAGTAAACATACTTGAACAAAAAGGGCATCCCTCCCCAACAAATCCAAGCAGCAGAGTAACTATATGAGAAGGGACAAAGCTGTGGAAGAAGAAAAAGGAAGGAAATGAGTGTCTGATGAAAACCTCCAGGGGAATGGTGGATTGCTTCCATTTGGCTCTTTCTTCAGAATATTATAATAAGGAATAGGAGAGAGTGAAAAAAAGGGTAATATACCTGGCAATAAAGGTCACAGAAGTATGCAGAATGTCGAGGTTTGCAAATTTAGGTGGTGGGAAAAACTGCCAAAAATTCTTGTTTCATGGATGGGAATTATTGGAGAAGTCCATGTCAAGGCCTGAAAAAGGCCCAAGCCACATGAAAGACTCCATCACCTGCCACACAATGGCTGTAGCATCCCCTGACAGACAAAAAAGCACCTGACATCATTTTGATAGACTTTCTGAAGTGAACAAAGACCTGATGTTCAACCATAAACATTGTGGAAATTACCATCTCTGTGTAATTCATGTTATGAAAAATAAGAACCACAAAGTCTGCAAAGGTGGAATTATTTGAAAATAAAAACAAAAAATATTTCCACAAAAGTTGATCTTCTAGATACTTCAACAAAACATCAATACTGAGAAATCTCATGCAAGCAAAAAAAGACATGTATTAACAGTCAAATGTCAAATTAAGGAATGTTGGTTGAACAATCAGTATAGAGGAAGCCAGCTGTACTAGGAAGAGGAGTTGCACTGTTATTGGTAGAGAATTGTTGTATGCTCATTTGCATGCAACAACACTACCATATCATATAAGATTAGGTAGGAGTTTCAAAGCTAGTGGGGAGCAGAAATGTTCGCAAATAGAAGGCAGCACTGAATCTGGAAAGCTAAATGTGAGTGAAGGTAATGTATTGTATTGGAACTGAGATAATAAATGCGTGTTCAGATCTTAGAATTAGAAATTCTAAGACAGGGATATCCCTTTTACTTAATGGCATTAAAAAACAAAGGTATATGGATCAACTTGGAGAAACAGGATCATCCAGAAAGAGACCTGCTAAAAGTCATATCCCAGGTGTATAAGCAAGCAAAGAATAATATCTTGCAACATTTGAGAATCCATAAACACAAAAGTTAATAGCAAAAGCCATCGATATGTCTCACGCAACAGTACTTAATATAATCAAGAAGGATCTCTATCTGGAAAAGCAAAACAAGTTGCTTCCACAACATTCTAGGAAAAGAAGACCAACTGTAGAAAACTGTATGAACAGTACCTAGCCAGGTAAAAAAAAAATCACAGTTCATGTGATCCTTGATGAAGCTTCTGTTTACCTTGATAACTGTAACAAGTCTTGTGCCATTTTCTACTGGTCAATGGGTGAAAAGCATTTCCAAAAGTAGTATGCAGCATGATATGAAAGTTTTTTGAAAGGATTCATTATTTTCACTGGACACTGCACCAAGGGCAAGCTAGAGAATAGATACATCAAGGTTAACTATGCTTATCATATCATTGTTTTAGATCCTTTGTACCACACATAAAGACTGGCCTTCTATAGAAATGAGGAAAACAGGGTATGGGTTCACCAAGATAAGGTTCCAATCATACCTTATATTCCACTTAATTATCACATACCTCAAACAGCTGGAAAAAAAAAACAGATATAGATACTGGACAGAGTATTTATAGATTTCTGTGCGATCACAGAATTGAAACACGTGCTGAGAACTGTCACCCTCGTACATGAGATGCAATATGCAAGGAGGAGTGTTATCCTTTTAACATAACAGTCTTACAAAGAACTCTTTTTTCCAAAGTGAAAATTACACTGGAGGGCTATTGTCAAGATGTTCAATAAGAAGATAAAGCATGACTCGACATGTAGACAAGGACAGAAATGCCATGGCGAGGCTCTAAGAGAACATTTATAATTGCATAATGCTAGATATATTACAGATGTTCTAAGATGACATAGCAATATATCGTTGTGGAAATAAAACTTCAGAAGTTGTAGCTAAAGATAGAGTAAAACAAAATTTGAAATATCTTTCATTGTTTATAGATTTAAAGAAACCAGATATATTTCTGTAACTTTTCTGAAGAATCAAAATCTTGAAGTAAAGAGAATAGAGACAAAAATAATAGGCAGTTTAGAAAACGTCAGAATGTGTGAAAGGTAAAGGTTTTGAATCCACAAAAATCTAAACCCACCATATTATATTTAACAATCATACAAATAATTGCATAATGCTAGATATATTACAGATGTTCTAAGATGACATAGCAATATATCGTTGTGGAAATAAAACTTCAGAAGTTGTAGCTAAAGATAGAGTAAAACAAAATTTGAAATATCTTTCATTGTTTATAGATTTAAAGAAACAGATATATTTCTGTAACTTTTCTGAAGAATCAAAATCTTGAAGTAAAGAGAATAGAGACAAAAATAATAGGCAGTTTAGAAAACGTCAGAATGTGTGAAAGGTAAAGGTTTTGAATCCACAAAAATCTAAACCCACCATATTATATTTAACAATCATACAAATGGGCTTGTATAACATTTCAATAAAAATAAATGGTGTGGATGTCATTGAGTGTATAGATATTAGATCCAACTATTATGTGGTAGACAAAAAATCTAGTTAGAAGTCAACAAAATAAATTCAAATGTTCAATTAGTATAATGTCAAAAAGAAAAATTATTCATTGCCATTAGACCAACTAACTCTAAGATATTTCGATGCTAAACTAACTACAGAAAATACTACCATGCAACCATTCTTATTTAGAAAAACCTCACATTACCATTTTTGCCCAGACTAGATTTTATACCTAAAAGTAACCTCACATTTTGTAAGCAAACTTATTTATATGAATATTCCTCATGAAAGTCCCAATAGGGAGAGAATACATAAAATGTTAAAATTATCTAATTTGAAAGTCAGAAATTAAAAACTTATCATTGAAATGTTCTAATATTTTTACGGACAAATCAAAATTGATAAACCTGGCTGAACACAATCTTAACAATTCCATTGAAAATGTTGTATTTAGTAGGACACATCATTATCCTTCAGCTAAGTGGTGGATTAATAGGAGGTCAGACAGGGCTGATACTCAGGGGCCCACAGGTAAATGGGAATCAGAAAGTAATATTTAACCTGGCAGTGTCTCAAGTTGAACAATTTTTGTTCAACTTGCTCACCCAAAGACTGTCTTGGGGTAACTTCAAAGGAGGTTAATTATAAATATATACACATTTGTTGACCAAGATGTATATTTAACCATGAAGTAACACGCATGAGGGGGGGACCATATTATTCACTGTCCCAGGGCCCCCAAGCTGTGTTAATCAGCTATTGCTCCAGCCAAGTTGAAGGAACTTAGGGGACAAATAAACGATACATATAATGAAGGTTTTAATGAACCATCTAATTCACCATGGGTATTATCAATAGTCAAAGTAAAGAAGAAAACCAGTAACTACAAATTTCACATATATTTCAGAAAACTGAACAACGTAACTGTAACAGACAGATTCCTATTACCAGTTAACAGTGACCTAGCCTGGTCAAAATGCATGGCATGACCTTTTACGGCATTACATATAATATTTAATTAAACTTTATCATAAAAGTGTATTAATAAACTTGACATGAAAGCATAGTTTCAAATTCAAATTTTAATACTATAAAAGTTTGAATTCCTTAAATTCAAAAAAAAATAATTAAATTTGTTTTAATTTTTCTGTGTTGGGTGATGCACCTGAGTTCCAATTTCTTCACTTAAGATTTTTTAACTTTCAAGAATAGCATACTACACTTGAAGCAAGATTCTAATATACCACTAATTGACCAAGCTATACTTGTAACCAATAGAAAGAGCAGTTTAATTAAATTTTGAATGTAACACACTAAAACCTTGTGACATACAGAAAAATAGATGTCCATGGAAAGAGGGTTAAATGCACTGAGAGATGCAAGATATATCAGTACACTGGATTTGTCATCTGATTGGGGAAAATTCCATTTAAAGCCTAAGGATAGAATGAAAGCTTCATTTATTACTAATAATGGCCTCTGCTAATTTAAAATTATGTCTTTTAGAAAGAACAATTCTGTAGCTACTTTTCAAAGGCACTACAAGGAATTAAAGGTATTTGTTGGAAGGTGATAAAATATTCTCAAACTTTTGAACAATATTTGAAAGGCCTTGTACTTCATACAATAAATTCTTTGAAGTTTAGATGTGTTATTTATAAAAGCCTAGGCCTACATAATTGAATTGTAATTATATATTTTGTTTTACTTGTGGAAGTTCTAATGAATACTCATAAATAAACCATTCAAGAACTTATTCACTTACATCTTATTAGACAGTAAATAGAATGCAATGGCTGTTCCTATAACTTCTTGCATGTCAGATCCAATTATGGCAATTTCTATCATAATCCACAAAACCAGGCGAGGAATTTTTGGATAAATTCGCTGACAAAGTTCTGCCAAATGAAGTCCTGTCACCACTCCAAGTCGAGCAGCTAATCGTTGCATAATCAAACCCAAAACTGTTGCCCACATCAGTATCCACAACAACTATATAAAATAAAATGTTAATTAATTTTCCTATACATATGACTATGGTGATGTGAATGAGTTTTATGTGGAATACGTAATATAAGCTGTTTGTCTGGTTATTAAAAAAAATAACAGATATCAATTGAATTGCTATGAAGGTATAAGCTCTTACTAGACAAAATTTTATAAGTTTTACAATTTTTATGTTCAAACTTTTTAACTATTTGTTTAACTGTTGGTAGAGAATAAAATTAACTTATATTCCAATTTGGAGTATTACACATTAACAAATATACTGTTTCATAAAGCATATTATATTGTAATAAACAAAAATGAAGAATGTGTGTTCAATCATTATCATCATAATAACAATTTTAAACTGAAATTTTAATGTTATATAATGAATTAAATGCAAATTACTCAAAAGATAATACCAATAACTAACAAAATTCTAAATACACTTAAAATTGAAATATGCTTTACTACTGAGATGTAAAAAATCCTTAACGAATACTTTCTTTCAACAATCACAAATGGATTTTTTTTTCAACATACTACACTTAACTATTTACACTGATTCTTTTTATTAATAAATACAATATAGGTTACTAATAGATAACAGATTACACTTAATGTAAAAAAAAAAACTATAATTTCAAATTTTATTTTTACTCTTAGTCAAAAAAAAGTTTTTTTTACTAATATAAAATATGTATGTTAAATAAAATTCAAATTAAACATATATACAGATAACAAAATGATGGAAGAAAAGTCTTAACAATTCTGATTAAGATGATTTTTTTCACTAATAAAATTCTCAACACTTTTTAACAAATATGTTGTTGTTACCTTAAACTGTGCAATTGTACCAGACTGAAGATCAGACTCTATATTGCCAGGGTCTAGATAAGCTATACTCATTAAAAAACCAGGTCCTGTGAATGCCCACAGCTTTCGAAAGCTAAAAGTACTCTGTAACAGTTAAAAAAGAAAAACAGAGGTATGACACAAGGCATCTTTACCAAAACGAACTTCCACATTGATGTAATGTTAATGATTTTACCATACAAACTGTACCTTACTTCTAGATAATACAACATACATAAAAGAGTATTAAAATATAGTACAAGCACTGATGTTTTTACATATTTTTCTCATAAATGTGAAAAAAAAGAAATACATTTCATGAACAATTGTGTTATAAGCCCTCAGACTTACAACTGAGCCATTGGGGAGGGGGAGAGCTTTTGCATTTCAGCTGACCTTTTAATCTTTTAGAATTTGGTGTTGAAGAATTTGCATACTTAAAATAACTTAAACAAATTATACAATAACTTTTTCATAAACAAGCTTGGTACTAGTTTATAGATATTCAGCATTGAATAATATGTTCTTAAGATATCTACACAGCAAAAATTATTAGTGGGATAATTTTTCTAAGCTATTTATGCACCAAACTGCTTGTGGATCCACAGCCCCAATGACATGAGTCAAAGAAAATAACTTAAACAAAATAATATTCAAAATTTGGTCAGTTACTTACAGGCAAAAATATAAAATTAGTCAACACAATGAAGTATGAGGACCGTACTGTTAATTAATGGTACAAGTTCATAATTTGAGGGTTAAAGGATAATTGCAACTTGTAATTTCATAGATATGACAAGGCAAATCCACTTTTACAAAATGATATCACTTACACTTGTCAGTTGTGGGAATCAATAATACAATCTGAAATACAAATGACTGGTCATTTAACCTATGCTATGAATATACTGATATAATAAGATCAGGTTATTTTGAACTGAATCATAGGGTTTAAAGTTTAAACACAAAAAATGATCTACAGTAATCCAAATTTAAGTAATTTATTGTTAGATATTATAAATCATTTTTTAAGTTCATAAGTGACTATTAATTAGATAGCAGCAACTTGTTTTGATTTCCATTATAAATCTAATATCTCTAAAATGTTTCACAGATATTAGTTCAACATGCATTAAAACAATTATCCACCACAATTGTTTTTGGTGGCACCAAAATAAATGCCTATGGCAATTCAATTTTGAATCAGAAGGCCAAGCTTTCATAGAAAACTAAGAAATATGGTTAAATGATTTCAGTTATTGCTGTTATATTGTACATTTTAACACTAAATGACAATCTATGTAGAGGTTATTTCTACAGTTTTGCTATAAAGTGGAAATAACAATAAAAAAAATATTTATGTCTAGATTTACAATACAATACTTAGAAATTACTGACTATCATGAATATGAAACTAATTTTATCAATACTAATAAAAACAGATAAATACATACACTTTCTACTTCTGGAATGTGAATTTTCTGTTCAAAGTACGTTGATCTGTTGGGTCTTAAGGTCTGGCATTCATCATGACTAGTAGTCACATCAGGATTTTCTTTCATGTTTTTACCTTCACTTGAGATGTCTTCACCTAAATTTTCATATTTGATGTATACATTACGTAGAAAAGGATAACCTTTGTGTCAGATATAAAAGACTGTTTAGTGTATGTATTATTAATTTATTTATTTTGTGAGTGAATATTTCATGATTATTTTTTTTTTGTAACAAGAGAGTTTAAATCAATTATTTTAAACGTGACAGTTATGACAAGTTTGGTTACATAACTCGGTAAGAATCATACATTGTGTTTATAATTCATTGATGTCAAGGCTGATGAACATTGCGTGCAATCCATTGATGCTGAGGATATAGAGATTTCTAGAAGTGATAAAAAAGATGAAAGAAGTGATGAAAAAAAGTGCAGAAGGGAATAAAGTTATGGGACGGAGAAGTTCGGTCAGAGAAAAGTTAAATGATAAGCTAATTGTCGTGGGAGTGAAAGGGCAAACAGTTGATATGTTAGAGTGAGATTAACATTATCATAAGACATAAGGAGAACAAATTGTCTTATCAAAAAGTGTTCTAAAGTAATCGAACCAGCCTGAGTGAACACTGACGAAAGGCAGACGATTCTTGGAAAAATGAGCAGACAATTTTTGAAGTACAGGAAACAACTGTGGTAACTCAATGACAATGTAAATGAATTATACACAGATAGTCTGCCAACAGAAATAGAGAAAAACAGTTCGGCTAGTCAACTGAATTCTAAAGCAATTAAATAGGCCTAAGTGGACTTTTGACAAGAAGAAGAGAACTATATAGTCTTTAAGATTTAACTATGACCTCCATAGTGTAAGAAATTTCTGTACATGTGTTTAACTTGTTCTGAATTTATATATCATTTTGAAAACAAGTGGAGTGCATGCTGTTCGTTTATTTTTTTATAATTTATTGGCAACAAGCCACCGACACATGTTCATAGAAGAATCCACAGCCCAACACACTCGTATATTTACATTACTACGTACTAAAAAAAGTAAGTTTCTGACATTTGGCGAGCCATAGCCATGATTATACAGTGGTAGAGGGTGGAAGAAGAAAACGTGAATGACAGCAAAAATAAGTAGGCCTATATACGCACAACTGAAGTAGTAGCCCAAATAGTGTAGAGATTACAATTATGCTATATAACCATGTCAGGTGATTTTTGATAAATGGATAGAAAGAGGAGAGTTTCTTGGGTTAAGCTATCTTTTTTTTCAGGAACTTATATCCTGTCATACGCCATCCAGATGATGACCCAGAATATGGTTACCTGATTCGTTGGGGAACCATTAATGATCTCCAACCAATACGAGCTGCTGATGGAGGATTAGGATTTCTGTTAGTGCCATCCTCTTCTTCAAATGAAAACCTGACATCAAGGAATTCATCCAAGACCTGACAATGAGCCAGTCTCCCCTTATCATGCTCTGCCAGTAATAACTTCTGATCCAGCCTAGCCTGCCAGTCCAGCCACTCCAGCCCAATCTGCTAATGCTACTGTTCCTGCCTCAATGCAGATTGCACCCAAAATGTCACCAGCCATCATCACAGAGGGGATACCAAGTGATGTCTGCTATCCAGAGATCACCAAAGAACTCCACCAACTTTTCCTGATGACTGTTTTTACTCACCTACAAAGCCTACCAAGAGGGAGTGTTGTCCTCAAGTGTTTGAAGCCTCAAGGATATGCCACTATCCTCAAGCCCTGGCCTGCCTCAGCCTTCAAAGGTGCCAAACTGTCTATCCATGAGGACGGAAACTACCTACCTGGACTCGTGATACACAGTGTACCTTTCAATATCACCCTTGAAGAAATTAAAGAACTTGCTGCCCAGGACATCACCTACTCAAGATTGATTGAATCAAGTCAGTCTGTACCGGACTCCCCCCACCGCTGATTAAATTCACAATGACGGACATGAAGAAGGCAGAGGAAACCATCACGTCTGGAGTTATACTCTTCTTCACCTATCATCAAGTGAAGCAGCCAAGGTTGGACCAAATATAATCCAGTGCTTCAAGTTCCAATGCTTTGGGTACACAATGACAGCCTATACAGCTGCTGTTCACTGTGTCTGGTGTGGTAGCCCTCATCCAGTTTCAGCCTGTAGGAAACAGCGAAACCTGACAAAGTGTGCAAACTGTAACGGTCTGCATGCCATGTCATACTGAGAATACCCGAAGTCTACGTCTGTGACCACTTCTCAACGACCCACAACAGTTGCTGCTTCAACCACCAACATCCCCAATAAGGCTCTATGCTTTAGTGAACCACTCCTCACTGAACCAGCCAACATCTCATCAAGCCAGGACCCCAGACGCCAAGCACACACACCAAACAGCAGAAGACATACTTTGAAGCCACCCAAGCCTCATCCATACGTATGACACCAACAAACCCTCCAGTGGACCTTGATGACATGTTGGCTGCAATCAACGTCATCATTACTAAGGTTACCTCCAAACTCTACATTAACTTCATCAACAAAGATACTGTCACCTTGTAGGTCTTTCAAGCAACTGATTACCACTTCCAGTCTGAGAAGTTTGATAATCCAGTAACCACAGGTCACATCCTGAAACAGTGTTGTGCAGCCTGTCAGGACCAAGGGTAAGTCTTGTAGATTGTTTTTCTACCTTAAGGGACTTTTTAAGTATTTAAACATGGCTACCATAATTCAAATTAACATACAGTGTGGGTTTCGCTATAAAAAATTTGAACTATATAAGTTAAGCAAATCAGTAAATGCAAATATCATTAGTATTAATCGAACATTACTCAATATACAAAGTAATTTTAATATTCCTGGATATAGAATATATCATATACCTAAAAGTAATGATAGTCACAGAATAGCCTTACTGTAAAAGAAATATCTCAAAGTTACATTCCTTAAAATTCATATACCTGACATTAATGAAATAATTTTATGCCAGATTCACCCCTCCAACTCCCCACCAGGAACATTAGCCAACATATATGTCTCTCCTACAGACAAACCTTTCAGAATATATATAACCAGTTTCACAACACAATTATCATTGGTGATTTAAACAGCTAGCCAAAAAGACTTTAATTGTCATGTCACAAACATGGCAGAATTCTACATAAATTCTTAGAGGATAATAATCTAGTAACAATTAACAATAACACACACACACACACATTTTAATGGATCTCAAGACATTCTTGATTTAGTAAGAGTCCTTATTGCACTAACCAACCACTCACACAATTTTCAAGTTCACACCAACATCGGAGGAGATCATAACCCTATATCATTTACCATGTATCATCACTGCAGAAATATTTCTCAGCAACAGCCACTTGTTTATGATTACTCACAATCAGTTGGGTAACACTAAATTATAACATCACCAAATGCCTACCAGAAACTAGACTCACACTGAAATAGACAATTATGCAAGTGAGATCACAAATGCAATAACTGAAACAAGAAAGGAAATCATACTCAGTAAAATGTAACCCTGACATGAATGCATGGAAACTTACACCCGAAATTCACTAGTTAATTATAAGCAGAAGACAAATTAGACACGACTTTATCCACACTCTTGACCCCACTTTAAAACCTCTGATTAATAATAAAAATGACAATATCAGGAAACTTATACAAAAACAACAAATCAATAACAGGGATAGATCCTGTAAATCCATAGATATTTCACAGTCAGACCCACAGTATTTTGGCATAAATTTAAATCAGTCACTAACAATCACTCTAAAAGCAGCATTAACACAATTAAATACAATAACAAGACAGCTTTGACCAATAGCGAACAAGAAGAACTATTTGCTCAATACTTCAAAACACATTTGTAACACCTAATGTAGCATCATTTGACTCATCACACTTTAACCATGTAAATGATCAGGTCAATAATAATCCTGATATTTTCATGCCAAGATTCCTGATTTCTGTTCAGCAAGCTAATCATCCCCATAATATATCCACACAGCCTAAATCACTGACAGAAATAAAATTCAATTTAAAGAAGATCAAACGTAAGGTGCCAAAGAATGATGGTATTAATAACATAATCCTTAAACACCTCTCTGACCCAATTTTAGAACACCTAGTTGCAGTTTATAACTTATAACTACTATCAGAATATTATCCTAATATACAGAAATCAGCTACCAATAAAGTATCACTTAAGAAAGATAATGATCATAGTAACACTGGTAATTATAGACCCATTAGCTTACTTAAAATGCAAGGAAAATTAATGGAAAAACTTATAACCAATAGACTGAATTGTTATCTTGAGGCAAACAAGATCTTGAACAATAATCAATATGCAGGTAAGAAAAATAGACAAACCTCAGACCACCTAGATATAAACAACACAATATTGGCATTCCAATGGTTCCAACCCTATTAGTATGGTTGGTATCAATTTTTCTCACTCATCGTATTGCCAAAGTTCAGGTTAACAAAGCAATATCTCACTCATTTACACTAGTTGCTGGAGTCCCACAAGGGTCCTTACTAAGTCCAACACTTTACAACATATATGTTAATGACATATCCTTCTCCCCTTTAATGTATACATTAACCTCCCAGTATGCAGACAACACAACTATTTGGAGTACATCAAGCAACACTCATACTGCCACTTCTAAGAGTTCAAGCCTCATTTAATACCATATCAACATGGTATAATAAATGGCGCGTTGCCCTTAACCCTATCAAAACACAAGCCATCACTTTTCACAAAACAATAAACATGTCTAGGAGAAAACTTAAGAATTTAAAACTACAATTAAATAATACAACAGTGAATTTCTCTAAATATATTAAGTTTCTAGGTCTAACCTTTCTGTCCAACTTGTCCTGGTGTAAACATTTTAATGATATTATCAGTAGAACTAGTGCCTGAATTAATTATCTTAGATGTATTGGTGGCATAAACAAAGGTTGCTCTGCCAAAACCATTATCACGATTTATAAAGCATATATTATATATATATATATATTTCGAGTGTGGTAACACAGTAACTTGTAACATGACCAATAT